AAAGAAACCCAGAGAGGTTAAGTAAATTGCCTAGGATCACACAGCAAGTGGCACAACTGTGATTCTAACCCAGGCACTGTATTTCAGATCTCACTCAATCACCACAAAATAACCTTCCCCTATCTCTTCTGTATCTGCAGCCGTAGAAGAGTGGGACACATAGATGGCACTCATACATGCTTATTGAGCAAATGACATGCCAACAGAAAAGGACCAAGCCCACAGTTCTCCCAGCACCAGGGAGCTCCGCTGATTGTACCACATAGGAGGCCACTGTCCCAGCTCTGAATAAGGTGCCCGGGACCCCCTCTGGCTAATTTGCTTCTTTCCTTTCACTTTTCATTTTTCTTTTTTTTCCTTTCCTTTTCTTTCCTTTCCTTTCCTCTCCCCTTCCTTCCTTCCTTCCTTCCTTCCTTCCTTCCTTCCTTCCTTCCTTCCTTCCTTCCCTCCCTCCCTCCCTCCTTTCCTTTCCTTCCTTCCTTCCTTCCTTCCTTCCTTCCTTCCTTCCTTCCTTCCTTCCTTCCTTCCTTCCTTCCTTCCCAGGTCTGCTGAAATATTAATAATAATGATAATACCTAACCTTTGTTAGACTGAGCCAGAAGCACACTTGTGGGGCAGAGTGGCTACTTGTCTTACCCAACACCAAGTCTCCCCTCAACTTGAGTAACACGACAACTGCCCACCTGTTTCCCAGTCTCCTTGGCATCAGATGTGGCCATGTGCCAAGTTCTAGCCAAGGAGATGTAAGTGGAAGGGCAGTGTGGGGCTTCAGAGAAGGTTCCATAAAAGGGGGAGGGAGGCAAGCTCTCCCCCTCCCCCTGTGCTGTTTGTTGCCTGGAATGAGGAGAACATGCCTGAAGCTCCAGCAGCCATCCTGGGCCGGGCGGTGACCTTGAAGATGGAAGCTTCTTGCCGAAGATGTTGGAGCAGAAAGACAGAAGGAGATGGGATCCGAGATGACCTTGTGGAACCAGCACAATAGCCCCGATTGCTGTTATGTGAGAGAGAAACCTACTTCTCTCGTTTCAGCTGCTGTCATTTGGGGTCTCCTGTGTAGGCAGCCAGACCTAATTGTCACAGACACAGGTGCAGTTATTATCCCATTTTACATATGACAAAACTGATTTGATCCCAGACAGCCTCGCAGTGGGCCTGTGTGCAGAACCACTGAACCACAGGTGCTTCCCAGTGGAACGCTAATTGCTCATTGCGCGGGGTAAACACTAGCTGGAGGGTGGCCGGGCTCTGCCAACGTGGGAACCAGGAACGCACGGCCTTGGCAGTGGCCTTGGTCTGCTGGCGGGGGCAGCTGCTCTCTGTGTTCTCACCACATTGGAGTTGTCTGGGCCAGGGCCCTACAGCATTTTGACGGGAGCCCCAGACCACGGTTATTAAATTCCTCATATTCCAATCTGCCCTCAAGGAACCAGTAGACCAAGCAGAGGCAATTACTGGAGGCTTTAGCAGGGGAAGGTGATTCCAGCGCCACGTGAAACCGGATGGGGTGGCCGAAGTCCCTGGACAGGGAATTAGGATCTGAGAGTTGCAAAGATCTCGTTTAGCATCTCGCGAAGTGGGCTCCGAAGCATTTGCCACAGAACACTAGTACCAGGAGCCGAGAACAGGTGTTCAGTGTAGAAGCGTCGGTGAGCCAAGAAGCTTGAACAATAGGACTTATTACGGGACTTCTCAGAACTTTTCGTGCATTGGGACACTCCCGGAGGGGAATGAAATATACAGCATTCCATTATTTAAATGTTGAGTCCCTTTTTGGGGGAGGAGTATCTCAAATGATGTTTTTCCCCTTTAAAAAATATTATCAGTAGATACCATTTATGGATAGTTTACTGCATGCCAGGCACTGTGCTATGGATTATATCTACTATCTCATTAATTCTCAGGAAAAAAAAAATCTATGAAGTGGGTAGTGGTTTTGTTGACATTTTATAGGTAAGAAAACGGAGACTCAGAGAGTAACACGCCGAGGTCACAAGACTTAAGTAGTAAAGCAGCAATCCACACCCTCGTGTCTGGTTCCAGAGACACCATACCCTTTGGCCCAGAGAGGAGGGAATTTGCCACATTCCTCGCAGCGGGCAGGAGGCCATGCTGGATTTGGACTCAAGTCTCTTGACTCCTGTTACGATTTTTTTTCATACTTTGCTGCATCTGGATTCATGAACATGTGTCAGTTGGTGGGTGACATCCATCTCCCTACACTGCACTTCCCTGCCACACCCCAGAGCTGTGACCAAGAGGCCAGATGGACATGTGCAGAACTTCTGGGCCTCGTCAGCACCGTTCTACAGTGTCCTCTCATTCACCTTTGTGACCTGACACGTGACACAGGCACATCCCCCTGAACTGGACCCACCAGTTACAGGCCATGCTGTCCACTGCAGGCCCAGCTCCCAGAAGCAAGCCCTGACTGCTCTGGGTGTGTAGTTTTTACATTTTTAAATGGTCGAAGAAAAATAACAGTGTGTGACACTTTGGTGAAAATTATATGAAATCCAAATTTCCGTGTCCATAAATGAAAGTTTACTGGCACACGCCCATTTGTTTACTATTGTCTGTTTATGTGCTATAATGGCAGAGTTGAAGGGTCCCTGGCCTGCAAAGCCTGCAGTATTTACTTTTTGCCCTGGATAGAAAATTTGCTGACTCTTGTTCCAGGTGAAAGAAATCAAAGCTCAACAGTATCTTCATCCACATCTGGTGATTCCTCCTCAAGTAGCTGGTTTCCTCCCTGCCTCAGGGGCTGACGGGAATGAAATGGACTGTGGCTAAACCTCAGGAATGGAGAGAAGTTGCAGGCCAACCTACGAGGGTGGGCCGGGGCCCAGGAACCGGGTTCATATCTTAGGGCTGCTCCCACCATAGGCTCCTGAGCAAGTTCCTTCCACGGGGCCGTGCTCCCGACATGTGCTCTCACCCATCCCTTAATAACTATGTATGGATTGCCTACTATGGGCCACGTCAGGCACTGCGCAAGGGCATAGATTATTTAAATACAGACAGTTCCCAATTTATGGCTCACCCTCGGCTGTCCTTCTCCGAGCTCCAGGCCGCCGTCTGGGCTGAGCACAGACGGACCCTTTGCAAGAAGCCCCATCCCAGGGGCTGAACACCAAAACCGGGGTCTGAATGCAGCTTGTTCCCTCAGATTAGGCAGGAAGCCTGTCTTATCTCTTCCTCTCGCACACATTCCGAAGTCCCGACTCTGTCCTCCTGCAGTTTTGATTCCCGAGTTTACCAAGTCCCCTGAGAAAAGGCCCAAGTGGTGGGTCCCATGTCAAACACCAGCCCTACTGGATTGATGAGCATTCCTGAGGGGCTCAGCATCTGGCAGACTGAGAGCACCCCAAACAGACAACTAAAGAATCATCTGTTGAGAGCCTAAGTGCTGGGCCCAATCAGGTTCTTATTGAACCTTCAGCTGCTCTGGAGGTAGCTATCACCTCCACTGTACGCGAGGAAGGGAATGTGCAGCCAGCGAGACAATCACCTGCCCACTGGCAAGTGGCGCAGCCCCCGTCCTTCCCAGAGCACCACGAATTCACCCACCGGGTGGCCTGGATTTCCCTGGGCTTTAGTTTTCTCATCGGCAGAGGGGCTCACACACCTACCATGCAGGCCGGTGGAGGGCCAGAGTGCCTGGCTTTTAGTTAAGGGCCAGTGATTCCTCAAGGAATATGGCTTTTGTTGCCAGGCAGAGGTAGAGGGGCTGTAGGTACTTTCTTCCACCCCCAGACCCACCAGGATGGTCTCACTTAGAGCCTCTGCTCTCCAGGCCCTGTGCCTCCGGGAGCCCCTTGCTGCTGCGGTTTGGAGACCCTTCTTATCTTTACATTAAACATCCCTGAGGGTGGAACTTGCAGAAGCTGGGCTGGGGCTGAAGGGCCTGAGACGTCAGGAGGAGGTCCGTGTTGGCTAAGGTCCTGGATCCCTGCGAAGGGCAGACTAGGTTTGGTGCAAGCATGTCAAGCTCGTGGCCCACAACGAATATTTTTGCGGCCCAGCCAATACAATGGTATGTAAAAAACGTTTTAATAAAAATGTCATAACTTTTTGTAATATCCTCTTATACATAATCTATAATAAAAGCGTAATATGCTAATTAGACCAGCCAGCCAAACGACCTTCTGGACGTCATTCCGGATGTCCTTCTGGACGGAGCCACAGCAGTGGGGGGAGAGGCAGAGGGGGTAAGGGGCAATCAGGCAGGCAGCAGAGTGGTTGAGGGGATCAGGCAGGCAGAGGGTCCCTCCACCCGCCCCCCCCCCCCCGCCTCTAGTTATTAATAACGAACTATAATGTTCGCTAATGACTGATTACTATAATCCTGTTGCATTCATTTCCCTTACACGCCTTATGCACAGGCACACCATTTCTCTCCACTAATACTAGCAAAGGATATTTTAGCAGCCGATTGACACGTCATTAGTCTTGTACTGACTTGTTTGGTGTGCGCAACAGGAAATATTTCACTTTCAAACGAGAAAAATAGGTTTATTTGTGTTATGCTTATTAATTTGTGCAGTTATTCAGTGTCTGGTAAGTTAATGTTCAAGAAAAAATATTAATTTTTGTTAAAATGTTCTATTGTGTTAACGATGACTCATTTATTTTAGCCTTTTGTATTCAGCATGTCTCTAGCAAAATAAACCTGTTTCTATGAAAATTGAAGCTTTTTGGGGGGGCCCACATGAACTTATTTGGCCGTGTTAGCCTTTGAGTTTGACATGCTTGGCTTGGTGGATCCCTGCTCCCAAGTGCAGGTTTCTCGAGTCTGAACATGTTCCCAGGTGTGGGCTGGGAAGACCAGTTGAGAAAACCACCTGTTACCTTTCATCAAGCGACTGCCTATCCTTTTCTCTCATGCTGTTCACCCACGGGGACCAGGGATGGGATAGGATATGGGACTGGAGAGCTGTCACAGGGCTGGCTTCTCCGCCTTCCCACACCGGTGTTGACAAAACCACACACACGTTTTCAAATCACATATGGCTTCTTTGACCCCATCAAATAACTTTATTCACACAAACGTCCCTTAATTTACAAAGCCTCAGTCATTCATACACATTAGGGGCTCCACAGTGTTCAAGGAACTTAAATATCATGTATCATACCAACCCAAGTAAACCAAGTACAAAAAATACTCATATAAAGTTGTTCACACGTAGGTCCTAGATTACCAGCTTCTGTGCAAAAAAAGAAAATAAGGAAAATAGGTTTATTAACTAGTATTTGAAACAAACTTTGAGCCTGGGTTAAATCTTCCCTCACTGAAATGGCCCCACACAACTGTTAAATCATCGCAACATACTCCCCTGCTCTGATGAAGAGAGGCCCCGGGGCATGAACTCGGTCTTTAAAATGTCCCTAAATAAACTCCCTTCCTCCTGTGGCCTCCCTCCGGTGACCCCTGCAATTCTAGGGGCGCTCCGGGCAGCCAGTGACAGTCAACCCTCACACCACACCTCCTGCTTCCCCTCCCGAGGCACCTCTCCATGCTCAGGTGGACAGGATCAGAGATGGGCCTGTGTTGTCCCGAAGGCTGTGGCTCAGCCCAGCGTGAGGCAGTGTCTCTGGGCCTCAGCCCTAAGCCTGGCGGCCAGAAGAACTGAATAGTTCAAGTTCGGCTATTGTCCTCCTAGGAGACTCAGCAGCTGCCTATCTGGGGGCCACCAGACAAACCTAGAAGGGGAAAGGGCCATGGGAGGCAATAACCCGAGAGCCCCCTTAGAGTCGGGCCACCAGTGCCCCAGATATGTGTGGGGGCACCAGCAGGATCAAGGGTGGGAGGCGCACTTGGAGGGAGGGGCTGGAAGCTCAGGTGGCATGGAGCATGGTGAGGGCAGAGTCAGGATCCCCTTCTTAGGGGCAAAAGCCTGACTTGCTTTTCCAAGCTTCCAAGATACCCCAAAGTCAGAACCCAGATGTCCATCCGTCTTCTAAGAAGGCAAACAGTCAACAGCACAAAGAGGAGAGTCCCACAATGTCAACTCTTTTCCTTTTCTTATAAAAAGACTCAAGCAAAAAAAAAAAAAAATCTTATTGCTCCACACACTGGTTCTCTAGGAGGCAACTGATATGTTAAGGAGCTGAGGACCTTGGAGGAAGGAATGCAGGTGGGGAATGTCCGGGACCAGGAGGCTGAGGAAGGTGGCCAGTGGTTGTAGCACCGCAGGGTCGGGGAGTAGAGGGAGTGCAGGGAGCGCCCCAGCCTCTGCCTTCATTCACGCTGGGGCCACCGCCGGCAGTGCCATAGAGGCCAGGCTGTCCCGAGTCACTCTCCACCTAGTGTTGGGCACCATTCTCCTCTGGCTGTAAACAGGGTATTTCTCAAGTAAACATATGCACGCCCTCAGAAAGGCAGCCATGAGGGGCAACCACATCCGGGCGGGAGGAGAGGTCCCGTCCTCCTCCCAGTGCCTCCGGGAGGAGATGAGGCTGAGGCCTGCGGCTTAGTCCCCAGTGCCCAGAAGGGGGTCAGATGGAGCCGGTCTTGTATGAACAATCGTGGCATCCTCCTGGCTAGAGGTAAGAGGCAGGGACTGCTGGGTAGTAAGAGGCAGAGTGCACCTGCCTAAAGCATTTTCCATCCTCAGCTAAAGCTGCTAGAGATCGCCCTGGTGGTGGGCAGGAGATGTGTACCTGGCTGCAGCCCCCAGGAAGGGATGGGGGAAGGAGAGGGGAGGAGAGGGGAGAGGGGAACCCCATGTGGCTATGGGTGAATGGGAGGGAGAGTTTAAGAGACAGATGGACACAAACGAGGAAGAAGACACAGACTCCAGGGGAGCGGGGTCTGGCCAGGGAAGACAATGGAATAAGGCACTATGCATGATCTGTCTGCTGACTCCTCTCACTTAGGGGCACCGGGCCCAGACTCTCCCTCCAACAGGCTCTCCTTTCGGACTGGAGAAGCGAGTAACGGACTGCTATTTTAAAGTTTGGAAACTTCTGGAACTTGGACAAACTTAACAAACTTGGTGGCACTGAGGTGATGCACCACAGAGCTGCTGCCAGGCCTGAGACGGGTGGAGAGGGTGAAAAGGCAGGAAGAGGGGAGGAAGCCGACCACGGCGGGAACAGGTGGCAAGTGGCTGAGAAGGAGGACAGGGGCCACCCACCTCACCCCAGGCTAGTCCATGGACTGGACTGACTTAGGACCGACGCCAACTTCAGGTGGACAAAGTGGAGAGAGCAGGGGAAGGAGAGAGGGGAGACAGGCACTTGGGCTAACGAGCTGGCCCTCAAGAGCTAGGGAAGGAGGGCCCACCACCAAGCCAGGAGGGCTGGAGCCCTACAAGGTAAGGGCACATGGAAGCTGGCTACCCAGGCTGCCCACCTTACCCAAAAGTTATGGACATCCCGTCACCTATAGGGGATACCCTGGCGCCAGGAAAAATAACAAAGGGGGGTGCATTGCAGCTCCAAGACCTACTCAGAGCTAAGAGGCTGGGGAGGGCAGAAGAAAAAGACAAGCAAAAGGCAAATGACTTGTTAGGCTTGAGCCCTCACTGGGGACTTCAGAACCCGAGCTGTAGCAGGGAGAGGGGGCTGCTGAGTTTGGGGACTGTTTTTCTCATTCGCTCATGTGCAGAGACAGCTGGCCGCAGGGAAGGCAGGGGGTGGGGCTGGAGTGTGCACTGCAATTAGGGGATGCTGGGCTCCCAACCTCCCAGGTGCAGCCTAGAGCACACACAGGGCACCCGAGAAGAAGCGATAAGAGGCAGGTGATCACAAAGGATTTCAGCCAAGGAATGGAAGGGCCTGGTTACCACCTGCAGCCCTGCTGGTCCTGCTAACCACAGCCAGCTAGCTGTCTGCCCAGGAGGAAGGAGCCTTGGTATCCAAGGAGCTTGAGAAAAGGCAGAAAGAATGTGAGCAAACATATTGTCAAGTTTGGGCTGACACCACGCTAGCTTCTCCCAAACGCCCAGAGCTGCAGGACCAGGGCTGCTGTGGGGAAGGCCCCCTTGGTCACACAGAACTGAAAGGCCCTCCAGCGATCTCCCCTACTGATCCTATGCTGGCTGAGAGAAGACAAAAACCAAAAATAAACACAAAAGAGGAATCCCTTCCCCCTCCCCAAAGGCCCTTTCCTGCTTGGCTGTCACAGGGTGAAGAGCTTCTGGAGTAGCTAAAGCAGTGCCCAGGTGACACAGGGGGCCAACAGAGGAGGGTTCCTCTGTCCTGCCGGGAGCTGGGAGGGGAAACGGGGGGGTGCAGGGGGACAATGCCAGGTTCAGAAGCCTGTGAAGAGGGGCTGCGAGTGCTGTGAAGAGCGGAAGAGCAGCTATACTGACCCTGCTGGTGGGCTCCAGAGCTGGGGAATCTCTAGGTGGCAAACCCACAATCAGGCACCTAAAGGCTGCAGGGGTCTGCCCAGTCACCCCCCAACTCTCGGCTGTTCCATCCTTTTCCGGTCAGACACATTTACACCTAACAGTGTGCCCCTGGGGTGAGGGAGATGGCACGACACTGTTACCATAAGTGATACCAGGGGTCCCGGCACATAGGGCACACCCTTCAGTGCAGCGACAGCCAGTCCAGGGCACCCTGTTCTATGGCAATGCTCACGACAGGATCGCAGGGACTCAGGCGGTCTCCGTGACAACCTGGGCAGAGGTTTGGCATGACAGTTTCTTCCTGGGGATTTCTGCTGGGAGGAAGAACACTAACAGAAACGTAGGCGTGTAGAGTTGGGGTGGGCTGACCGCTCAACCGCAGGAAGTGGGAGATGATCACTTCTGTCCCGTCCCCCGCCCCTTCAGAGATCTCGGTCACGGAGGGCAGTGGGGGGAATGGAGTCCCACCACCGTCAGTCCTGGTGTGGCCGGGGCTTCCACAGCTTAAAGAGCACACACCCCCGGTGGGAGCTGCTTTCTTGAGTTCTCCCGGGCAAACGCTGGTCTTCCTCCTCCAGGCGGATCTTTACCCAAGGCCAAGAGCTGGCCGGGAGCAGCTCGGGTCGGCAGTTCCTGCGCCTGGTGGGAAGGTGGCCCAGGGGCCTCCTCCTGTCTCCATTCCGTTCCAGGAGAAATGCCCCCATCGCCGCGGAGAGGGGCCTCCTCGGGGGGAAGTGAGGTGTTATAAGCAGAACTGAGAAACAGGTAAAAGAAAGACAGGGAAAAGCAAGAACAAAAACAAAATAGTGCCCTAACCCCTTATAAAAATTAAAGATGAAATTTACACAAATGCTTTGTCCATATTAAATTTCTTTAAAGAAACTGGTGCCTGTCCACAGCAGAGCTTCTGCTCTTTTGAAGTCTTAAATCGTTTAAATTAAAAAAAAAAAAAAGACAAAAAAATTTAAACAAAACTGAAGGGAGAAAATGCAAACAAAGCTTCACATTGCTGGAGCTCCAGCTGTCGGGAGATGGCCGCTGGCCGGGCACCTGTACCCTCTGCCGTCCTCTGTGAGACTTGACGAGACTGTGGGTCCCGGGGATCAACCTGGAAGACAGAAGGCAGGGCACGAGTGGACACTGGTCAGTGGGCTTGGGGTGCCTCCAAGCTCCAGATCTCCCACTAGGTGCCAGCACCCAACCGATGACCTCAGGAGCTGTGCTGGGGCCAGGGAGAAGGTTTCTAAATAATTTATCTGAAGTGAATGTAGCTTCATTATTGCCACCCTGCCCCAGACACACAGTCTTACTATTCAGCTGCAGGTTAAGTGACATGCCCGAGCTCACATGCCTGAGGGGCAGACCCTGGCTGGGAGCCCAGGCACACAAATCCGGTCGATTGTGAATCCTGTGCCATATAACAGCTTTCTTCAGTGTTTACAAAAACGCCGGCGGACCCTAGGTACCCGTCCCTGCAGGTCTTGGCAGCCCTGGTTCCCCTCATACTTCCTCACCTCTCTAATCGTGCTGCCCTGAAATGTCAAAGCAACTCTCGAGTTTACTGATCCCATTTTAAGAGAATGAAAGAGACTCAGGCCTCTGAGAACAGAAACTAACTACTAGGTCAGTGATGGCGAACCTATGACACGCGTGTCAGAGGTGACACGCGAACTCATTTTTTTGGTTGATTTTTCTATGTTAAATGGCATTTAAATATATAAAATAAATATCAAAAATATAAGTCTTTGTTTTACTATGGTTGCAAATATCAAAAAATTTCTATAGGTGACACGGCACCAGAGTTAAGTTAGGGTTTTTCAAAATGCTGACATGCCGAGCTCAAAAGGTTTGCCATCACTGTCCTAGGTAGCCAAGGTTCTCCTGTCTTAGGAGAGGCCAGAATCCCACAGCCGGGCCGTGGGGGCCCCCGAGCCAGGTGCTGGGTCCTGCGTAGTTGTGCACTGCAGGGGTCAGGAACCAAGTTCTGGAGCCAGAGCCTGACTCAACAGGCCCTACACTTCACACTTCACTGTGGACAAATTAAGTCTCGGTTCCTTGGTCTCGTCACCTGTACCTAAATCACAGGTTATTCTGAGGACCAAATGAACTAACACAAGTAAAACTTAGAACATTGCCTAGCCCTATTATTAGCTATTATTTGAGAATCAATCGCCTTAGGGCTGGGCCTCAGGAACAAGACAAGCCACCTGCCCTTCAGGGACCTGTTCTAGTGGAGCCTCCAATACAAGCACCTACAGAGGTCAGCCTTGGGCCGGCCCTCACCCAGCCCAGTTCTCCCAGCTTGAGCCTGGTCAGAGCTAAGTGCAGCCCTAACCTAGGCAGGGCGGCATCCAGGGCAGCAACGCTGCAGCCTGAACCGCTGAATCAGACAAGTGTTTCACCGTGTGCTTGAAATCCCCATTGGCTTCAGTACTCTGCAAGCTCTGTGTGGCCTGAGAGCTGCCTTCCCACATTACTTGCCCTGAGCAGTCTGACAACACTGGCCGTCGTCCTCAGGTCACGGGGAGATACCTGGCTAGTCCTCAAGAGAGGCAGTGGGGTGCAGTGATAAGGAACGGTTTACTTCCTGTCAGCCTCAGTGTCCTCCTCTGAGAAATGGGGAGGGCTCTATTTTGAGGTCTGAGGGGAATAACTAAAAAGTACCTGGCCACAGCAGGAACTGGCATACTCGATGAGCCCATTCTCTCCCAGCCATCTGTCCCGACCAGAAATGACGAATGTATGAGATTTAAACACCGTGGTCCTCAGCCACTGAACCAGAACCCTGCTCGGAGCTGGGTGAGGGTGCCATGAAAAGGACACACACCGTGGGAGGAGGGAGCACAGCCTTTCGGAGAGCAACATGGCACTGTGTTTTCAGAGCTTCTGCCGCGTTTGGACCTGTAGATCCTATAGTTCCACTGCTGCAACTGTATCTTAACTGATAACCCTACACATGAAAAGGACTTGATGAATAAAGATGTTCACTGAAGTATATTTAATTTATGAGGCAACAACCCACAACAGAGGAGATTTAAGCAAATGATGCATCCACGCAATGGTATTTGCAGAGGAAATGAGGAGGCTGTGTGGCATTTTGAACAATATCATAGCAGAAGCATTCCCTGGGTTAAGTGGGGAGAAGCAGGCTACAAGTTCTGCAGCAGAGTATGCCCATAACTGAAAACACAACACTTCCAAACGTAGGAAAATCTGCAAAAAATACACCACAACATTGTACTTGTCACGGGTGTGCCTTCTTCCACTTTTCCTGTATTTTTAGTACTGAGTGACATCACCCAGTCATGCTCTGTTCTGTAATGGAAATAGTGGACTCTAATCAACAGGAAAAGCTGGCAGCTCCGACTCGGAGGTCCATGGAGCAGCGAGCAGCCCAAGAAACCAGACCCGCGTCTTTTCTGGACTCTTCCGCATACAGTGGACATGGAGAATTCCCCACACCTGTCAGACCTGAGAGGTGAGACGGATTCCCTTCTCTGCCTCCCAGGTGAGGGGACCCAGCGTCTGCGGGTGGAGTACAGCAGGAATGGATGATAAAGGCACTGGACAGCTATCTGATGCGGAAAAAAATACTGGATTCCCAGGCCCAACCCTTTCCTCTGCTGCTTCTGTCTCCCTGCCTGTTAAGTCCTTTCAACAAAAACCCAGTGGGCCTTCCATCTCAGTCTTTGGTTTGTAAAAATAAAACCATCATACGCATGCCCTGTGATGATCCAGCAGCCCCTCATATCCAGCACTAGTCAGCATGCCTACTGCCTTCAGCAGACAAAGCAGAGCAATCAGGAGACGGGGAGAGGGAGAGCTTGGGGAGGACCTCACCAACAGAGACACGCTAAATCCTCATGAAGTAGGACAAGAAAAGCCTGATAAGTTGTATGGTCATGTGTCATCTGCTAAAATAATCTCTGGGACCAGTTATGACCTTTTCAACACCGCTTTCCTTCCTCCCTGGTAGGACCCAAGCGAAGACAACTTCCTCAAAAGGATGATCATCAGCAGGAGCTGGCCCCCGGCAGCTGAAAAGCAGTGTGGTCGAGGAGGCAGAGGTTCTGGAGCCAGAGTCCTTTTTCCAAAATAACTGGTGGAACAGAGTGTGACTGCAGAAGGTCGAACCCCTCGTCCGGTGCTCTGCAAGAGCTCCTGCGACACCAGCACGCAATGACCGCTGGAATCACTGGGTCCCTTGCCAGGAACCAAGGCTGACATTGCCCACAGGCTCCTCCGCCCTCCCTCCCTTGGACTGGCTTTGGCCCTCCTGGTAGGTCTGCTGGCTTCACCCTGTGGCAGGGACAGGAAAAGGAGAAGGGACTCTCTTCTGTGGAGAGGACCTGGACTTTGAGTCTCTCTCCCCTTAGAGAAGGTACAGCTTTCCAGGGAGCCAATGGCAGAAACTGCACTGGAAGACAGAGGGGAGTCCTTTCTTGAGCCATGGAGAGGGAGGCTCGGGTTGACGCCCCAGCCACACAGTTCTGGGCGGAAACAGCAGCAGACCCTCCCATGCACCTCATCCAGAGGGGCCAGGCCTCAGCTCCCCGACTCCCCAGGCTGGGCTTAACTGCTCAGTTACCAGCCTCAATCAGAGCGTGCCTTGTCCCTTTCAGTGGAACACCTACCTCTGATCAGAGCCCTCCCTAGAGGGCAAAGCCACACCCACTGAGCAAACATGGTGTGATAAACCTGTAGATGACACCTGTCACACACTCCGTCTTTCACTGTCCCCATCTTGTGAGGATGGATTTGCCCATTTTAAGAAGGGAGTAGGCCCAGAGAGATGGAGCAAGTTGGCCCACATCACAGAGCTGTTGAGCAGTAGAACCAGCACTCAATCTAAATTTTGCAGCCCCTTCCCCGCCCAGTCTCTCCACTATGACAGTCCTCAAGTGTTTTACACCTACCGCCTGCCTCACTGCACTCGACAACCGAGGTAGGAGCTGTGGCCACTCCAGGTTTAGAGATGAGGAAACGAAGCTCAGAGAGATCTGCTCCTACTTTTAGCCTAGAAATTTATGATGTCAAGTTCCCGCCTACAGAGAGAAGTGCTTAAGAGCTTAAGCAGAGTTTCAAACCCATTTACGCCTTTCATTTGGAAACAGATTCAGGCAGAAAAAGGAGCATGAAGGCTTGGCTTAGGTATCTCTGCACAGGTCTGATGTCCAGAGCACAAACGGGGATGTGATGCCAACCAGGCAGTGAGAAGCTTCCGGCAAGTGCCTCCGCCAGCCAAGCACTGGTCTCTGCAAGGACACCAGGGAACCAAACTGTTCCCACAAGGCCACTGGTAATGTGGAGACTTTCCGAAGTTGGGAGAGCTGCAGTGGGAGCAGGCGATGATGGGGCTGGGACTGGGGATGGAATGGGCTCACACACCGAAAAGAAAGCCATCTGGTTGGCGTGCTCATAGACCACAGCACAGTATAAACTCAAATTGCGGTGCTACTGGGTGGTGGCCAAGAACTCACTCTTACCTAAGTTCTCCCTGTAGTCCTGTGTGGTGATATCACTGTAGCTAATGACACATTTGATATGCTAGATACCATGCAAGATTAATATGCAATGCTTCTTCTGTCCAAACAAAGGCCCACGTAGGAATTCTCCCATTTCACAGATGAACAAACTGAGGCTCGGGTGTTAATTTTCAGCACATCATGCTGTGGAGGCACAGAGGCAAGGTAATCTCTGGGTCACAGAGGGCAGGCCTCTCCTTCTAAATAGGATTAGCTTTAAAATGAGTCATTCTTCACTTATTTAATACACCAAACAAAGCAGCTGGCTTTCATATTCAGTTTCATGCCAGCCCTTGGGGGTTCAGTGGCCCCAGACACCACTGTCAATTCTAACCTGTTAAAGCCAAGCTTTCTGATGCATCATTCCCCTAAGGCTTGGCTAGCAACAGTGGTGCTAGGAGTAGGGCAAAAAACAGAGATGCCTGTGCCGTGGGCAGCCTCTGGCACAGTACATGGGGGTTGGTCCTGTTGTCAGGGTAAGAAAAATGGGGGTGAGATGACAAATGTGGTAACAGCGTTTTCTGTCTTCAGGTCTACAGAAGGGAATAGGGAACAAAAGCCTAGAGATTATCAAAGCATACCCACCAGGAGCTTCATGGTCTCTGAGCCCTGACCAAGAGACCAAAACCAGGTAGAAATCTAGGAGCAGGTCTCAAAGGGGGAGCATCTTTCAGAGAGCGTGTTAGAATGGCAAAGAATGATTGGTGCTCTGCCAAGCGCATGAACTTTGGAGTAGGAAGACCTAAAATTCCTATCTCAGCCCTACCAATCACTAGCTTGGACCTTTACCAAGTCAAGGCCCCCCCAAGTCTATTTTCTCAACTACAAATATGGAAATGTTGACCTTGCAGGGTGTGAAGTCCAGTGACAGCATTTGTAATAGGCAACCAGAAGGTACTTAATAGTTGTGATGGCAGCATAAAATCACACCCAAAACACCAAAACAAAACCTCACAGTCGTCACTGGCTCACGCAAAAATTCCAGACAAGACGACTCAGCCCAAGTCAGTCTTCTCTCGGCAGCCTTTCTGCTTTTGGCCTCAGGCTGAATGAATGATTCTGTGCAGTCTGTAAATTAATTTTTTATTGCCATGTACCCACACCCAGTTCCTATCCATCATCCAGTATTTGAGTTCCTGTGCTTGGCAACCTGAAGCCTCCTGAGAGAAGCAAGAGACTGTCCCTGCTGGTCTGGTTGCACACCCCAACCGTCCCAGGCCCTGAACCTGTCCCTTCATATCCACTCAGGTGGCACCCACCCTTCGAGACACCCTCACACCTCCTCCCAGGAAGCAGTCCCAGAGGAGCCAGTCTCCAGTGAGCAGGCGCAGAATGACCACAGACCCCACCCCCACCCCACCTAACCATGCTGTGGGTGCCACTCTTACCACCCTAACTACAAGCTTCCTTAAGCACAGGGACAGTCTCCTGCTTCTCTCAGGCTTCAGGTTGCCAAGCACAGGAGCCTAAATACTGGGTAATTGATAGAAACTGGGTGTGCGTACACGGCAATAAAAAATTAATTTACAGACTACACAGAATCATTCATTAAGGGTGACAGGATTTTAATATAAAACTATGGTGATGAAAATCCCTGCTTTTGCTCGAGTTCCCAATGAACTTCCCAACCAGCTGGGGCAGAGAGGGCTGGGCCTTTCTCAGGCTCAGCAGCTGGGAGGGAGGAGCTGGGATTTTGCCTGTGCTGCTCTTCTCCTGCCCAACAGCACGCCACTCCCCTCCACCACCTTCAGAGCTGGGTGGGAGAAATGAGGCACACAAGGGTGACACAGCCCACCAGTTAGAGAACCAGGAAGCTCCTGTCTCCATTCCGGCTCTCTCCGCTACTCCTTTCCTCGCAGAGCTGTCTGCCTAATCTAGAGATGGGGCCTGAAATACTGGTGTGGCTAGTTGGAGCTGGCCTGGCTTCAGAGTATGACCCCGAGTCTGTCAGTCAGGGTAAGAAGTTCAAGGAAAGGGCAGTTAGGACTGGAAGACATGGGTTTGGCCTCAACCCTGTGGACTTGCCCAGATCTTAAAGACCCACCATGGTTGCCCTAGCTGGTTTGGCTCAGTGGATAGAGCATCAGCTTGCGGACTGAAGGGTTCCGGGTTCGATTCTAGTCAGGGGCACATATCAGGGTTTCGGGATCAATCCCTAGTAGGGGGCGTGCAGGAGGTGGCCAATCAATGATTCTCTCTCATCATTGATGTTTCTATCTCTCTCTTCTTCCTTCCTCTCAGAAATCAATAAATATATATATATATATTTTTTAAAAAGACCCACCATGGTGGCCTGCCAGGCCCAACCACCTCCCCATGACTCTCCTTAGCTCAACAGGCTGGGGTGGAGACCTGGCTGGGGTGCTGTCAGGTATGGCGGACTCCCCTACTCCATATTCAAAACACAAAGGTTGTGGAAATAGGC